GGGTCCCTGGCACTGGAGACCCAGCTAGATCACGGCGGGGGTGGAATAGGTGGTGGAGGTGGGAGAACATCCGCAGGTGGGGTCTGCCCGGGTTGGTAATATGCCAGTGTCGGCGGGGGGGAAGGGGTGATGGGGTTTTACTTGGGGAGTGGTTACTGGCTTAATCGTGGGGAGCCCAGCGGCTGACCTCGGCGGAGGGGCTGGGCGGAGGGGCTTTGCCATCTGCGGTACCTACAGGAAGCCAGTGTGGGAGGCGGAGCCAGGGACGGTGATGTAACGCTCGGAATGGAGAAAGGATCCGGGCGGTGAAAGGCGGGAGGAAGACGGGGCTGAAAAACTCTTTGTGCGTTTGCTGGAGTCATGATGTCACGAGGCCCGAGGACCGGGGTCAGGTCTGTGGGCCAGGATGGGACGCTGGGGTCTCCACAGGCACCCGGGATGTGCGCAGGTTGGGTGGTGACGTCATGCCCAAGGGCGGGGCCTCGAGCTCCGGGGACGCAGGGTCAGAAGGAGGCTGGGGCCGGGAGTAGCGGAGACACTTGGGATTGGGAAGAAATCAGCGGCCGGGATGGGCTCGGCACAGAGCAAGGACAGAGAATGCAGGTAGAGGAGGGACAAGGGCGGTGGTGGCGGGGAGGGGATTCTGAAGAATCCCTGGAGCAAATATGTGGGCAGGATCCAGGCGGAGTGATGGGAGAGGGCCGAATTCAGGGAGAATGTAGCAGGCACCCTAAGAGAACATGGGGCCAGTGTAGGGACAAGAGAAGCCCCAGTTTGGGAGAGCAGGATGGAAATTAGGGACTTGGGGGGAGAAGGGGCTGTTTCTGGGGAACGTAGCTTAAGGGGCTGGAATATGGAGGGAGGGAAGGAGGTTCTTCAGGGAGGCTGGGAAGGGGAGCCCGGAATTCCATGCAGTAAATGAGTGCTGGGGTCGGGGAGGGAGGGTCGAGCTGGCCGCGGTTACAGACCACTTAGGACCTGTCTCCAGGGGCCAGGGGCGTGAGCAAAGCCTGTAGGTGAGGGAGCTAAGTGTATAAGGGGAGGCTGAACTGAGGCAGAATTTTCCGGAGGCTGAGTGTTGGATTGAGGCTGCAAGATGGGGGCCAGTGACATCAGGGCAGTGGATCAGGAAAGGGCTGCCCATCACGGGGTAAGAATGGGGTTTATGCCAGGAAGTGGAGAAAGAGGAGGGCAGGGCCAGGTTGGTGGCGAGGATGGAGTGCGGTGGGCCCCCTTCCTCCTCGGCCTCTTCCCGGGAGTGGGTACCACGAGTGGGGGCGGCCGTGCTGCCTGCGCGGTCTCCAGGTGTTCCGCGGTGCCTCCGACGCCTTGGTAACCCGGACGGCGCGGCCGCTGATTGGTTCGCGGAGCGTGAGGGGCGGGGTCTGTGGGCGAGGTCTCGGACGCTTGGTCCAGACTGCTGCGCTGCCTTGCACCGCGATGGGGGTCAGGGGATGAGGGATTTGTTGAAATGTGCTACGATTTGTTTACAGCCAGATCAGGGATTATTAGCCTAGACGTCGGAACCTCCAGAGGATGAAAGCGTGATGGGAGAGTATGAACTTTCCAGGGAGAAGGGGCCCCCACACTTCATAAGCCCACCAAAGCCCCAGAGACTTCCCCCAGATAAAGGGTTCGGATCTGAAAACAGGTTCCTGTCAGGATGGCTCTGAGTCTCGTGGTTATCCCTGGGCCTCTGAGAAAGATCTATGGATGGGCCTGGAGGGGGTGTTCTCGGAGCCTCTGAAATTATTTACAATCGTGGTCCTACTTATTCATCTGAGCAGGGTTCAAAAATTTCATTAGATTCTCAAAGGTTCAAAGACTCTTAAAAACCATAAAAATCACTGATGTAGGTACCAACAGTTAGCATAATGGCTATGTCGCTGGACTCCCATGTAGTCGACTGCGGTTTGCGTCCTGGACCCGGTGGCTTAAAACTCACGCTGGGCGTGTGTGCGTGCGTGCCCAAGATCCCGAGAGGAGAACGGAGGAGAAGGGATTGCGGCGTGGCCTTCCCTCCTGGGGGGTGATTTCTCGCTTTCTGTCTCTCTGTCTCTCTGTTTCTGTCTGGTGAGCACACGTGCCCTATAACAAAAAAAAAAAAAAAAAAAACTCTAAAAAAAAATCACTGATGTAGATTTTTAGAGTTCATCTTTTCTTCTTCACCATATGTTGTATTTTACAATGTTGGATTCAAGGAAGGACTCTCTGGAAAAAGTCTAGGACTAGAAGAGGTGGAGGAAAGGAAGCCACGCAGTAGAGGGGTCCCCAGGGCCTATATTGGTGGCTTTGTCTATTTTAATTTTAGTTTTTTAATTTTTTTGCCATAGGTGCATGCACTCAACGGGGGAGAGAGAGGGGGAAAGTGGGAAATCACCCTGTAGATGGATGACCACACCGCAGTCCCTTCTCTTCCATTGTCCTCTTGCGATTTTGGGCGCACGCACACATGTGCCCACTGTGAGTTTTTCAAGCCACCAGGTGTGAGGCTCAAACCACAGTCCACCATGTGGGAGTTCAGTGCCTTAACCACCACGTCAGTTTTTGGCCCCAGTGGCTTTGTTTTTGAAGCAGCTATGGATCCCCGACATAGCCCTTTTTCTTGGCAAGCTTGGTTTCCCCATCTGTACATTGGGGAAACAAAGTATCAATAATAATAACAATAATAATAATAATAATAATGATAATGATGGGAACCAGTAGTTAGCGTAATGGCTATGTCGCTGGACTCCCACGTAGTCGACCACAGTTCGCGTCCCGGACCCGGTGGCTTAAAACTCACGCCGGGTGCGTGTGCGTGCGTGCCCAAGATCCTGAGAGGAGAATGGAGGAGAAGGGATTGCGGTGTGACCATCCCCCCTGGGGGGTGATTTCTCGCTTTCTGTCTCTATGTCTCTCTCTGTCTGTCTGGCGAGCGCACGCGCCCTATAGCAAAAACCTCTCCAAAAAAAAGAAATAATAACAACAACAACGACGACAGCAGTGATGGTAGCTCCTTTAGCTGTTGGAGGATGAGTGCTGTCATCCTCCTGTGGGCTTACAGAGGCCTTTGTCACCTGGCCTTGTTACATCTCGGATCTCATCATTTCACCCTGCTTCGCTCGCCGTCTCCTAGCCACGCTCACCTCCTTGCTGTACTTAGAGCAAACCAGGAACCCCCATCCCAGCCAAAGCATATCCCCTTTCCTCACTAATTCACTTTAAAAAAAAAAAAATTAACCAGAGAGCACATGTGCTCTCCAGAGAGAGACAGAGAGACAGAGAGAGAGGGAGAGGAAGAAAGCACCCTCCATGGGGAATGGTCATGCTGCAGTCCCTTCTCCCATCAGTCCCTCCTTTTGGGAATTTGGGCACATGAATCTGGTGTGCTTCTTGAGCCTCAGGGTCTGGGACTTGAACTTCCTGGTTGGCCAAGTGGGTTCTGGCTGCTTTAACTGCCAGGCCATCGTCTGGCCCACTACTTGACATTTCTATACACCTGACTGCTGTCCCCCTCCTGAGGGTAGGGACATGGCCTGGTTTCTCATCCCATCCCAGCACCCAGCATGGTACTGATTGTGGATTCAGTCTGTCTCATAGAAGGTCAGCTGACGTTCCCGTGTAGGCCTGGATGAGCCTGGATCAGAGCCCTAGCAGCCCGGGCTTCCATTTTGGACCACCCCTGGGGGCCTGGGCTGAGGACAGAGGCCCAGTTCTCCCTCTCCTGTTTGTAGAACAGGATAGTAGCTTTGTAGGCTATTTATGCTTACAAAAGGCTAGTTAATAAAATCATTTCTTTGGGGGCCAGCAGATGACATGGTGGTCAAGGTGCCAAACTTCCACCTGGCCAAATGTGGTTCGAGTCCCAGACCTGGTGGTTTGAGACTCATGCTGGGCACATGTGTGTATGCGTGCTCAAAATCCCAAGAGGAGAATGTCGGGGAGGAGATTGTGGTGTGGCCAGCCCCCCCAGGAGGGTGATTTTTTTCACTTTCTCTCTCTGAGAGTGCACTCTCCCTATGGCAAAAAAAACTTAAAAAGAAAAAAGAAATCACGTGTTCGATGGAGAAGACCTGCGTGTGCCGTAGGTAATACATAGCACTCCACCTGCAGCCTCTTCCTCAGAGGTCTCGTTTCCCTGCTTCAGTGCCACCTCCTCAGAGAGGCCTGCTCTGACCCCTTCTTCAAAAGTCCTGCCCAGGGCGGCAGGTGTGTAGTGGCTGAGGTGCTGGACTCCCACGTGGTCAGCTGTGGTTTGAGTCTCGGACCTGGTGTCTGGCTTTCTCACTTTCCCTCTCTCTCTGGCGCACGCATGTGCTCTGTAACAAAATTAAAAAAAGAAATAAATAAAATAAGGGAAATAATTTTTTTTTAGAAAAAGAAAAACTCAGCCTCTCTTTTTTTTTTTTCCCCTTAGGTTTTTGCCACTGGGCATGTGTGCTTGTCAGAGACAGAAAGAGAGACAATGAAAGGGAAAGTGAGAAATCCACCCCCGCAGGGGAGATGGCCACATCGCAGTCCCTTCTCCATTCTCCTGGGATTTGGGGCACACATGCACACGTGCCCAGTGTGATTTTCAAACTGCCAGGTCCGGGATTCAAACCACAGTCAGACATGTGGGAGTCTAGCGCCCTAACCACCATGGCACCTGCTGGCCCCCAAAACTCAACCTCCCTCTGCCTCCATTTCCCTTTTCCCTTTGCAGCTCGATTTTTTTCCCCCACCAATGTTTGCTGACTGAGTGACTATAACAAATAAATAATGACTGTAACGGTGAGTCCTGGCGTGGTCATCCTCATGTGACTCTCCAGTGGGTAACGTGGTTGGCCAGCAGGTACTGGGCACCGCCATGTGCAGGACAGGTCTCTTTTGCTTTTATGCATCATGCTAATTTCACCAGCACAACACGTGTGTGAGGTAGGTGCTGTTTTCCAGATGAAACCGAGGCACAGAGAGGTGGAGTCATTTTCCCAAGCTGCCACAGCAGATCAATGATGGAGCCAGAGTTCGAGTCCTGGCCTCCCAGCTCACGAGCCTGGACTCTCAGCCATTCTGGGTCTCTTCTGATCCCCTCTCCAGCGACTGGCCATGGACCAGCCGGCCGGCCTGCAGGTGGACTACGTCTTCCGGGGTGTGGAGCATGCCGTGCGGGTGACAGTCTCTGGGCAGGTGCTGGAACTGGAGGTGGAGGACCGGATGACGGCTGACCAGTGGCGGGGCGAGTTCGATGCCAGTTGTAAGTGTGCCAGCCTGGGTGGGTGTGCCTCTCAACTGGGATCCCCAGGAGTTGCGGCCACCAGAATCCTGCCCACCCGCCTCTTCTGTCTGACCAGAAACTGTCCAGTCTGGGGTGGGTGGTGTGGCCTCATCCCTCAGGCCTGTGGCTTCAGAGTCCGGGAGAATGGAGTGCGGGGATGCTCTGCCCTGGGCTGGGTAAGTGGTCAGACCTCAGGAGGGACTTTTCTTCCCACCCAGTCATCGAAGATTTGACTCACAAGACAGGGAACTTCAAGCAGTTCAGCATCTTCTGTAACATGCTGGAGTCGGCCCTCACCCAGGTAGGGGCCGGGCGGGGCTCGGGGGCCGTTCTGTCGTCCCGATTCCTGGGGAATAGATACTCGTGGTGTGTGCGAGGCCACTTCTCTGTCCTTGCAGGACGGGCCTATTTTCTTCTTCTTTCCCAAATGTCAGTGGTTTATTATCATTCAGTGATAGTCTCAGGAAGAAAATTCAGCTCACAGGCTGGCTCTGCGACCTGGTAGTTAGGGCAATCGGATCCCACATGGTCAACCTCATGGTTCGAGTCCTGGACCTGGCGACTTCAGAAACATGCCTGGCACATGTGTGTACGTGCCCAAAAGCCTGAATGGAGGGAGAGATGGAGAAGGGATTGCAGCGTGACCATCTCCTATGGAGGGGTGCTTTCTTTTCTCCCTCTCTTTGTCTCTCTGTCTCTCTCTGGCGAGTGCATGCACCCTTTGGCAAATAGAAAAATACAAAAGAAAAGAAAATGCAGGTCACATAATAATGCAAAGAAGAAAAGAAAAATCACTCCACTCCTAATGCTCATACCTGTTCATATTTTGGTGAAAATCCCTCCTGCCATTTCTCTGTCCCTCCGTTCATTTGTGAATGTCTGTGTGTATGAATTCGCAGATCTGTAATTGTACATAATTGATAGATTTTTCGAGGTATTGTGCAGTGTGCGTTTAAAAGGGCAATATTTCATAAAAGTGTGATCGTATCGAGGTAAATGGGTGGCATAGTAGTTAAGGTGCTGGGTTCCCACATGGCCAACCACAGTTTGAGTCCTGGACCTGGTGACTTGAAAACATGCCAGGAGCTCGTGTGTATGTGCCCAAAATCCCAAGAGGAGAAAGAATGAGTAAGGATTGCAGCATGGCCATTCCCTCTGCAGGGTGATTTCTCACTTTCCCTCTCTCCCTGGCTCTCTCTGGTGAGCACACGCACCCTATGACGAAAAGCTAAAGAGAAAGTGGTCATATCAGTGAGCATGACCACTCGTCCACTTCCTTACCGGTCATCCAGGGAGCTGCAGGCACTGCCGTGGACACCGGGGAGTCCGCAGTGAATGAGAGCGAACCCCTGTGCTCGTGAAGAAGGCGTCCTCACAGCAGAGACCGTCGATTGGAAAAAATATGCACAGCGTCTTTGAAAAGTAAATGGAAAAACGGAATCAGTGTGCGAATTTATTTGGGTGCAAAAAACTTCTGAAATCCCTGGATCGTTTTCTTATGATGGGCATTTTCTGTGAACTTTTTGAAGACCCCCTCACACATAATGTTAAGTAATTAAAAAAAAATATTTTTCAATCACCAGAGGAAACAGATACAGAGAGGAAGAGGGAGAAAGCAACCCCCCCCCGGGGCTTGGCCACGCCACAATCCCTTCTCCTCCATTTCTCTGTCCTGTGGGGACCTGGGGCACATATGTGCATGTGCCTGGTATGACACTCTGGGGCTAGTGTTTGAACTGTAGGTGGCCATGTGGGATCCAGCTCTCTAATAATCACTAGGCTGCAGGGCTAGTCCAAGTAAGATTTTTAAAAAAAATTTTTTTAGCATTATTTTATTTAACTTTATTTATTTACTTATTATTTTTTAATTTGACCAGAGAGGGACAGAAAGAGGGAAAGTGAGGAAGCAAGCTGTCAGGCCTGGGACTCCTGGTTTTTGCTATAGGGCACGTGCACTTGCCAGAAAGACAGAGACAGAGAGACAGAAAGTGAGAAATCACCCTCTGGGGGGATGGCCACGCTGCAATCCCTTCTCCTCCATTCTCCTCTCGGGATCTTGGGCATGTACACGTGTTTCGCTCTGGTTAAATTAAATTAAAATAAGAAAGAAAGAAGGAATAATATCAAATGGAATTAAATAAATAATTCTTTAAAAGTATTGATGGGGAAAAAAAAAGCAGGTTATGATTTCCACAGGGGTGGTAGCTACATATTTTTTAAAAAATGATTTTTCTTTCCTTTTTTTTTTTTAGGAGAGACTTTTGCTATAGGGTGTGTGCGCTCACCAGACAGACAGAGAGAGACAGAGAGACAGAAAACGAGAAATCACCCCCGAGGAGGGATGGCCATGCCACAATCCCTTCTCCTCCATTCTCCTCTCGGGATCTTGGGCACGCACGCACATGCGCTCGGCGTGAGTTTAAGTCTGGGATTTGAACGGCGGTTGACTACATGGGAGTCCAGTGACATAGCCATTACGCTAACTGCTGGTCCCCTGTGCTCTTTTTTTAAAAAGGTTTTTGCCATGGGGCATAAGTGCTCACCAGAGAGAGACAGAGAGAGAGAAAGTTGCCACACCGCAATCCCGTCTCTATTTTCCTCTTGGAATTTTGGGCATGCACACACATGTGCCTGGTGTTTTTCAAGCTGTTGGATCCGGGATTCAAACCATGGTCTGCCCTGTGGGGATCTAGCACCTCTACCACCATGTCACCTACTAGCCTCATCCTTTTATATGCTTAAAAATGATTGAGGATGGTGCTTAAGGCATTGAACTCCCACATGGCCAACCGTGGTTCAAATCTCAGACCCGGCAGCTTGAAAATCACACTGGACGTGTGTGTGCGTGCCCAAAATCCCAAGAGGAGAATGAAGGAGAAGGGATTGGATGTTGCCACTCCCCCAGAGGGTGATTTCTCACTTTCTCTCTCTCTGTTTCTGTCTCTGTCTCTCTCTCTCTCTGGTGAGCACATATACTCTATGACAAACATCTTAAAAAAGGAAAGTAAATAAATTATCAAAGATGGCAAGGAACTTTAAAAAAAATTTTTTTTTTTTTCAATTTGTATGCAGGTCCTTTCTATCAATATCTTTTTGCCATATTAGAAATTAATACTGAGCTAGGACCAGCAGATGGCGTAATGGTTATGTTGTTAGACTCCTATACAGTTGACTGCAGTTTGAGTCACGGACCCGGTGGCTTAAAACTCATGCTGGGTGCATGTGTGTGTGTGCCCGAAATCCTGGGAGGAGAAGGGATTGCCTCATGGCCATCCCTTTGGGAGGTGATTTCTTATTTTCTGTCTCTCTCTCTGTCTCTCTGGTGAGCACATGGGCCCTATAGCAAAAACCTCTCTCTCAAAAAGAAATGAACACTGGAGGGAAAGAGATTTATGAATTAATTTTAAGATAGCAATAATAAACTTATTATGTGTTAATTGAATATTTTTCTGAAAAATTTATCTCCTGAAACAAGTCTAGTAAGAAGTGTAGCATTGTCTTACATTGCTGGAGATCTCTGTAGTATCTGGCTTAGTAATGGAGACCACTGCGTGCTTCCACATTCGGTCCGTTGAGAGAGATGTTTTGACTTGAGCACATGCACAATTCCTGCCTCACATAGGGAGTACTTTAATAGCGTTTTCGGATAATGTGGAGCTCCTTCTTCTTCTTTTTATTTGTTGTTATTATTATTTTTTAAACTTTGACCAGAGAAAGAGAAATGAGAAGTGAGAAAGCAAGGCCCCAGGTCTGTGACTCAAACCGTGTGTGGCCATGTGGGAGTCCAGCACCTTAACCACCATGCCACCTGCTGGCCCCTGTGGAGTGCCGCCTTTGCAGACACACTAGTACTGGACAAGTGGCAGTTTCTTTTTCTTCTCTTTTCTTTTTTTTGAACTTTTTTTGCTATAGGGCGTGTGCGCTCGCCAGACAGACAGAGACAGACAGAGAGACAGAAAGTGAGAAATCACCCCCCAGGAGGGATGGCCACGCCGCATTCCCTTCTTCTCCATTCTCCTCTCGGGATCTTGGGCACGCACGCACACGCGCCCGGCGTGAGTCTTAAGCCACCGGGTCCAGGATGCAAACCATGGTCGACTACATGGGAGTCCAGTGACGTAGCCATTACGCCAACTGCTGGTCCCTCTTTTCTTTTTCTTTTTCTTTTTTTAAAGAATGATTTCTAAATTTTGTTTATTATTAGTAGTATTTTTAAATTTGCTATAGGGCATGTGTGCTCACCAGAGAGAGACAATAAGAGAGAGAAATACACAGAGTAGGAAATTAAGAAAGCAAGCTGCCAGGTCCAGGACTTGAACTGCAGTCAACTATGTGGGAGTCCAACTCTCCAACCACCACACCATCTGCTGGCCCTCTTTTCTGTTTTATTGAAGTTCATGTGTTTATATCTTCCATGAGAGTCAGAGAGATCAGGGGAAAGAGAGACAGGCATCCCCAACAGGGTCTGTGTCCTGTGATGTACGCCAGCCCTAGACAGGCAGGATCGTGGGCATGTGTGCACGCCCAGTGTGTGGAGGTGGACCTCTGGACACGAACCTGGACCTCCCCATATGGCTTCAGCTTCAGGGAGCGTC